GCTCACATCCGCCCGCCCGTTCCGAGCACGACCGCGCCGCGGCCCCCACGCAGCAGCACGTTGGTGGTGGTGGCCATGCCCTTGATGAAGCAGGGCAGTAGGGCAAAGTCCAGCTTGGTGGACCTGAGCTCGAACAGGGAGTTGAGGATGTCGATGACGAGCGCGGCGCCAAACACCGCCATGGAGCGCTCGTACAGGATCGCGGGCACCTGGTTAGGGGGACACACAGAGAGGGTGTGTGGGAGTGTATGGGCGCGTGAGTGTATGCGTGTGTGGTGTGTGTGTGTAACGCCGATTGAGCGCATGGTCGTGAGCTTCTGCGTGCTGTCAGCACCAACGTAGGCGGTGTGCAGCAGGCCGGCGCGCGTGCCACGAGTCGCGGCCAGCCCGCGCGGCGGCCTCGCTGCCGCCGACCTCGTGCATGCGGAGCCGCGGGCGGAGGGCCGCTGCGCCTGCCGGGGCCACCGCAGCCGCCTGGGCGATGTGGCGGCCGCGAGCCTCGGGAGGCACCGCACCTGGTCACGCCACATGCGCATGCCTTCCGGGGAAGGCAGCAGCCATGTCGCCAGCAGCGTGAGGAGTAGGTAGCTCGCGCTGCCAAAGCTGAGGGGGCGAAAGGGGATTTGGAGGGGCTCTAGAGGGCAGCAACGAACCTTGCTTGAGGTATGGGCCAGGGCTGGCTTGGTATGTGGGCGAGGGCGGGGGCATTTCTGTTGTGCGTGTTTGTGTGCATTTGTGCATGCGTGCATGCGTGCGTGCGTGCGCGCGTGTATGCGTTGGGAGGGGTGCAGGCCCGGGCGCATGCCACCAGGAGACTCGAAATCCCCGGCTGCCGGATCAAGCGTTGCGGCAGCTGAGTAGCGCTGCGTTAAAACCTCTCCGGCATGCAGGCGGCTGGCCCCGTCTGCCTCCTAGGGTGTGAGGCAGAGCGGAGAGGCGTCCACGGCCGCGCGCCCCGGACGCCCATCCTGTCCCATTTGCCGATCACGCCAAATCCGCGGCGGGGCAGCTCAGAGCGCACCATGCCCACTCCCGCGATATGCCCGGCCGCACGGTTGCTGTTAGCGAGGTGTCTCCTCGGCCGTGGGAGACAGCAGGCTCGCCATCTCGCTCCCCGCCGTCTGCGTGCATCGCGGCCGCAGACGCTGCTCCACTCAGCCGCTTCATTGCCGTGGGCTTGCTGCGCGCTTGCAAGCCGTCGGCGCAGTGCCGGCCTGCTAAAAGCTATTCCATGAATGTAGGCTTCTCCTGGACCCGCTCGCGCACTCAAGGGACCAGTGGTGCGATAACTGTGAATGGAGCGAAATCAAAGCTGGGATACGGCTCGATCCTGGGAAGAGGAAGTGGCTCGGACAAGCAACTGCAGGGAACAAATCTTTATATTGACCTTTGTAACCGTGAGCATCCGGCCGTAAACATTGCAGCGGGCAAGATTTTGCATGCGCTCGGGTGAGGCGTGAGTGACACTTGTGACCTGACTGTGCGACCATGCTGAAAGAGGTGGTGGAGGTGTGGCAAAGGATACTTGCAACTTGCATGCTTCGCTGAATCATCACCCACCATTGATGGAGGCCTGGCAGTGGCCAGTATGTTGAACAAGGTCCCCAGATCGTGGCTGGGGCTATCAGTTTCCATATTCTCTTCATATTTTAGTTAAAGAATGTTGGGGAGTGTAGCTGCCGGACATCTGTGACTCGCCGCACGGGTCGCCCTGCAGAAATGCGCACCTCGCTGGGCGCCTGCACCGCTCATACAGGGCATCACCGATGTAGTCAACAACCTGTCATACGCATAGCTCCCATTGGCGCGCACAGATGGCTCCAGCCAAGTGCATCAGAGGTGAGGGGTGCGCTGCCGCCGCCGCCCGGGGCGCAAGCCTCCGCTACTGCAACACCTTGTGCCGCCTGCATGCCTGTTTACAGCTGCCGTATCATCGCTTTCAAACCCCCGTTACCCTCGCCTTTCCCGTCCAACCGCCGTCATGCGGGCGCCGCTTGCGGCGGCCTGCGCACCTTCACAGCAGCGGCGATTGTGGCTGACGTCCTGCGCAGTCTCGGCCCCGAGCCGGCCGGCCGCCAGCGGCAGCGGCGGCGGGGGGGATGGCGGCATCGACGCGGGCGCCGCCACCCGCCCCGCGGCGCCGCACCCCACCCCCTCGCAGCACGGCCTGAGATGGCCGCCGCCGCTCGCAGTGCATGAGCACGGGGCGCACGCCAGCGGCGGCAACGGCGGCGGCAGCGGCCAAGAAGGCAGCAGCAGCCGCAAGCGGCAGTTTTTGCCCGGCTTGCTGATGCGGGCGATCTCTCAGGCATCGACTCCTGCATCCCTAGGCAAGCTGCTGCAGTCGCGGGGCGACCAGTTTGACGCGGGGCACGCGGCGGGCTTCATCGCCGCCTGCGGCAGGGCGCGCGCGCGCCTGGCGGTGGCGACCGCGGAGGCGACGGGGGCGGCGGCCGCAGAGGGCGCGCATGCAGGACAGGCGGAAGCGGGCCTGCGGCCAGAGGAGCCGCCGGGCGGCCAGGGCTCGCCACAAGCCGCCGGTGCCAGCGCCTCGGCTTCGCAGCGGCGGCGGAGCGAGCGGTGGCGGCGGCGCCAGCAGGCGCTGAGGGACCCCGCCCGCCTTGAAGCCATGGCGCAGCAGCTGTCGGGCTTGCGGCAGCCCGTCCTGCAGTTGGTGTCGCGCCACGCGGCGAGTATGAAGCCTAAGGACCTGGCCGCGGCACTCGGCGGACTCGCCGCGCTGGGCTGGGGCGAGCGGCGCGCGGTGCGGCAGCTGCTGGCGGCGGCGGAGCGCCGCATGGCCGAGGACGCGGCGGCGGCGGCGGCGGCGACCCCGGCGGCGACCGCGGCGGGGGCCGGCCCGCCCGACGCGGGC